ATTAACGAGCAAAAGCCGTGCTGTGTACACAGACATTTCTGGAGCCAGCACCAGGCCTAAGGGGCTCTTCAGGGACAGCACAAGAAAAGCTGTACTCACACCTCTGGTGCTGCTGGAGCAACTTTTGGTGTGTGAGAATGTGTGTGTGTGAGTATACACACATGCACCAAATACTCTCACACCCCACAGACTGACCCCCTCCTTTGTGGTAGAGTTACATCTCTCTGAATATTTTGTCCTGCTCGTCACGAACTAGTGGACCTTGGGAGTTGGCACACATATATGTCTTATTTGGCTTCCAGTGGATTTTCACTTAGCTCGTTTGTTTTTAATGACTTTGTATATGAGGCAGGCACATTTAGACACCTGAATGGGTACCAGAGGCATTTAAATTTGCAGCAACAGACTTTCTTCTTTGAAACACGATCCAACAAAAGATGTGAGCTCTTTAATTCAACAGGGAGAGGGTTACTTGAGATAACCTGCCTGCATCCTTGCAACAAAAGAAACTGGACTAAGCCAGAAAACAAAATGAAATCTTCTATAATGACTTCTTTTTGCTGCCTTCAGACTTTTTCTTTGTAAGCTCTTTTTAAGTTAAAAAAAGGTTAATACTCTTGTCCACTAAAGATTGAAGCCTGTGGGTTTTGCCAAAGACTACTAACTGGATAAATTCTCAATCTGGATATCTAAGGGAAGGTTGCTTTACTATAAATCACCAAGTGCAAGCAAAAATACCCGTTTACTAAGAAAAGCTATAGAACATAAGACTTGGAATGATTTTTCAACATAAGTCAGATACTACTCAAATAACTTTCACTCACTTCAGTATAAATTATGTGTGTTTCCCAAGTCCTGAAACATCCCTGGAATTGTGAACCTCACATGAATATCATTTGGGAGTCATCTTTAAATCAAGCTTGAAGACTTGAGAACCTTTCTATAAGAAATGGCATAATTAGAATCCTTCCTGGTGGTACCAGGGGTTAACTATGAAGCAATCGCAGCCACTGCAGCAAGAGTTCAATTCCTGGGCAGGGGGCTGACCCACATGGCACAGCAGACCCCTCCTGTCTCAGCTGCTGCTCCCCTCAGATGTGTATTTCACTAGGTCCCCCTGTTCTTTCCCCCACTCTATCTCTGGTGAATCCTCTCATCTCCCTCATCTCTAGTCTGTAGCCCAGTTCTTGTAAACAAATCTTAAAAAAAAAAAAAAGAAATGGTGTAATTATAGAACACCTCTATTTTACTAATTTTCTTCTGTGTTTGGCCTTTTATAGTTGCCCAAGAAACACCTCTAGAATAAATAAAAGCAATTTGCACTGATGTTAGAATTTCTTGGATTTCTCCTGAGACACAGGTTGAAATGTTCCAGGGAAGATGTATCATCTTCTCCCTACATGTTTTCTAAAATACCTCTTCTACAGAGAACACGTATGGATAAAATCCCACGATGTGCCCCTGGAGACCCCTGCCTCACTCATATTCTCCACACTTCTGTCCACACAAAGGTGCTGACTGAGACCTAATGCCTTAGTGTTGCGATCCTTCAGGGAGAGGTTAAGAGAGGAAGGTCAGTGCTGGCACAGGAAGGAGGGACAGCCAATTAGCAGTACCAGCTGCGCCACCCTGACTGGTGGTCCCAGGTAGCCATCATTCTGAATAACCCTCAAGAGTCCCACCCAGTGTCCTTTGCTGCACAGTCCCTCTCCCTGAAGGGGGAGCCCATGAATAGGACAGGAAAGCACCTCTGAGGTGACCCTATAAGACAAAGGCAACGGGACTTTGTAGTGATCATTATGGCCCCAAATCAATAAATTTTGCTAAAGCTGAGACGATCTGTTCCCAGCATTAGAAGACTAACATAGGCATAGTTACTAACAGTGATGGCCAAAAAGTGGGGCGGGTGCAGTGTGTAAACTACAAAGCATGTGTGCTAGGGGAATACACTGACATACCAAAGTCTATCCTTAGGCAGAGAACTTCTGAAAATTCTAGGTCAGGGAGCCCTAATCACATGGCTGTGATCACTTACAGGTTTGTCTTTCCTTAAACTAAGCTGTGAGGGGCCTTTACCATCAGTATTTCATTTAGAGAATTTCTAGTCTTTTCCACAGGAGGCCCATAGAAATGAAGGTGTTGGTACATTCATGGTCTAGTTGCAGAATTGAAGGCACACAGATGTGTGTGATTGAAAGCACTGTGGAGGACTGACTGAGGTGCTCTAGGAGGAACAACTACCTGATGGTGGATTCACAGGAAAATACACAGCAGTTTTGTGCCATAAGAGGTGGTAGAAAAAAATTAGAATACACTTACATATATTTTCATATTGCAACTGCATGTGGAGGAATTATGGGAGAAGAGAGCAGAGATCATTTGGGGCCATTTTGTGAAGAGTGTCCCCCAAGGGGAAAGCTAAGAGATTTGAATGGATTTTTTTTTTGACATGACAATTGGCAAGTGACCAAAAAATTTCTACAAAAGGAGTTTATGCTGTGGGAAGCAAACAGATTAGAAAAGGTAAACCCAGAACTCAGAAAAACATGAGGAGGCGAGAGCAGGAAGGGTGCAGACCTGTCCTCACTCCCCTGTTCCTACTGGCAGGCACGCAGCTCACCCTGTCTGGGGAGCAGAGTGTGGGCTGCATCATAAACCCACAGATCATCAAACAAGGACTCCAGAGGCAAATTCACAAAAAAGTAAACTCTGCCAACAGTTTCGGTAAGCTTGGAAGAGGGGCCTGAGCCTTGTGTGGGCTTCTAAGCATGAAAGGAAAAATCTCTGAAAAGCTCAAAGAAACGTTTACTTTCACGGTGGAATTGGGAGAGGGAATATTTCAGGGCTCCAGTGCCTGAGGGAAGAGGTGCAGGGTGATGGAGGGAAAAGCAGCAAGTCCATACTCAGGGCCTCTGCTGTGCCCTAGCTGGGCTGCCAAGGGGCCTGGGGAGGACCAGGAGGCCTGCCAAGGCTTGGGGGGGACCAAGAGCCCTGCAGGCATTCAATCCAACACCACTGTTCAGACTTGGGGTCCTGCCTCATCCTGGTATGAAAGTTGAGGCACACTCCAGCTCAGGCAGCATCAGCACCCAAACTTCCACTTCAGCTTTTTGGGCATTCTCTGTGCACCCTCTCCTGGCTTACCTCTGTCCTTCACCCCACTATCCCTCTAACTCCCTTTCAGAGGATGGTTCATCTCAAGACAATGTTGAGACCAAAGAGCATCATTCACTTAACCAAGTTGATCAGCTGCATCATACTATTGATAAGGCACCTTCCTCTTTGCTGACTAAGAGATAACATGTTCTCTTTTCCATCAAAGTCTAATAACTCCTCTCTCTGTATGATGGTCCCCCAATCCATTCATTCATTTGTTTACTTGACTATTTGCTAAAAAATCTTTATTGAGCATAGACACTGTTCTAGGCATGAAAGATATAGCATTGAACATGTAATGCAGAATCCAGGTTTTTATGTGAGCGGCCATTCTAGATGGATGTGTAGAAAATAAACTGTGAACAAATGAACGAACTAGAAAATTTCAGACTAATAAGTGCTCTGACAAAACTAGTAATGAGCGCTTCAAAATTCCTCTCAAGCTTCTTATCTCAACCTGATTCCTACCAACCCCCAATACCCTAAGCCAAAAGCCTGAGGAAGTATCCTAAACCCGTCCTTCTCACTCATTTTCATTTTCATTTATCAGTCACCAAGTCAAATGGACTCCAGCTTTGAATAGCTCGGTACCATCTTCTCTCCCTTTCTCTCTGGCACCACACACACACCATCATTTATTTTCCAGATTACTGTTGTATTCCCATGGCGTGAGCCCTCTCTCTAGATCTGTCCTCTGCACGTCATGCCCTTCCTTAATAGGATGCAGTGGTTCTTGATAGCTTCTCCCGTTAAATGTAATGCCCTTAGCTTAGCATTGCAAGGTCTTGCATTATGTTGGTCCTGCTGAATCCTTCACCTTGTCTCCACAATCACCTGCCCCCACACTCACCTGCCCCCACACTCACCTGCTCCCGCATAGCTTCTCCCATGTCCACATCATATATCCTAGTGACACGGACATGGTACCCACCCTTAAAGTGCATTTTGCTCATTCTTCTCTAACTTCTCTGCCTACAATGCCGATCAAGTGCCATCTCATTTTGGGACACCCTTCTATCCTCTGAGTTCTTTTAAGAAGGACTACATTGAGAAGATAGGGGAAACCTTGAACACCTGATGACCCTCAGGCTTAGTTCCCGAATGGCTTTGCTCATATCTGGGGCATAATTACCATATAAATAAAGTTTTCCTATTTGCAGTGACAACAACTCAGAATACAGACTCTGAGCTGGGGAATTGTCTCCCTCATTGTTTTAATAAGATGGACTCATGCCGGGAAATTTCCCTTCTCATTTATGTTTTCTCTGTTTAATACTTGTTATTATAATTTGAGTTCCTAACCACTATTCTTAATGGGCTGGAAGTGATTCTGATGGATTACAAGATTGGTGACAAAGCCCCTGGATGTCAACATCCTGACAGTACACATGGTAATAACTCTCAGCAGTTCCTGCCTCTGAGGGGTGCCTGCTGCCATCTCCAATTTCAGACTATTACCTGGCACACCTGCAGCTTCTCCCTTCTGCTTTTCCTCTTCCTCCCCCAGTGCAGAGCAGTTCCACCACCCTGCCACCTTCCCTGGCTGGCGCTGGGACCAGACACCTCCACAAACCAAGATCTCTCAGGAGATGCCCTTCCTGGGCTGACCCCTGGCACCAAAACCCTGACTTTCTATGGGGCCTTTAGGAACAATCTGAAAGTCAAAGCTGCTTTCAGAGACTGGAATTCCCAACACCTGTGCCCTACTGAGGGGTCTCTTCCGGCATAGGTACACATGCAGCCAGTTCTCACTCTTACTCCATCAGCCCCTGCCTGCACCAGGCTGTGTCCGTGAGTGTCACACCCCTGAGAGGGCAATAAATAAAAGAAGCAGGTTCTCTTACTTGCATTCAGCAGAGTCCGGATCTTTTTTTCTTCTTCAGCTTCTTGGACTAGCTTTTCTGCTAGTGTCTTGTCTTCTGATTCTACGCATGCGTCAGCTGTGCGCAGGTACTCCAGGTAGTCGAGCTCCCGCTGGGCACGTTCCACTCTCAGGGCCAGGTGGTTCACCGCACTCTTATACTCGCTCGTGTAGGTCTGACATCTTCCCAGCAAGACCGATATGTTTTTTGAGAACTCTCGAAAATCTTGAACATATGCCCTCGTTGTTTGGGTACATTTTTCCAGTCCTTGCTTCAGTCAGAAAACAAATACCCAAATTCTGATTAGCTAGTTAAACTACTCAAATAATACAAGTAACTATCAGTCATAGAAAAATATTTTTAAAGTATAAAAAAATAAAAAAGGGGGATGAAAATATCACCCATAATTCCTTAATGCCAAGTGCTATTGATACTTGAATGTATCCATTTTTACAAGTTCTTAATGTTTGCATTTAGTCATAAATATATGTATATTTAAAATGTGATTTTACTATATGTGTGTCTCACAACGTATTTTTGACTTCTGGCATATTGTAAACAGATTTCATTACTAATTAATATATATCTATACCATAATTTTGATGATTCAGAATCCCATCAAATTGAAAATACTTAATTTATTCCGTTAAACTCCTTAATAGACTTTTTTACTATTCATTTTTTTTACTATTCAAACAATGATGAAAAAAATCCTTTTATTTACATTGTAATGTAAATGCATTTGTATTTCTCTAGTAATTTATTTTCTTAAATTACAAGAAGGAAATTCCATTCCAGATTGGCACGGAGCCCAGCACACAGTGGTAGTAGTTAAACACTTACTGAATGAGAGAATAAATGAATGAAGAATGGAAATGGGATTGCTGGGTCAAAGAGTATATCTACCTAAAGTTCTGTTGGCAGCTTACCAAAATGCACTCCACAAAAGTAAAATTTATACTCCAAACAGCAGTATGCCAGGCTTACCTATGTTTGTTTGGAAGGGAAACGGAGAAGGAGGTAGAACCAGGGGAGGGGGAGGGTGGGGCAGAGGAGATCAAAGAAAGAACTTCAAGTGTCTGCCATGGGCCACCAGTGACGGCCTCCTGGGACTTACCTTTCCCAACCAGGGTGGGAAAATCTATATAAATCACATCCGCGTCTTTTTCGAATGTATATTCATAGCTAACAAAGTATTAGCCTGTACTCTATACCTTTACCTAAGAACTCTTAAGTCGTTGAGAAAAACTGGGGGATTTGGCTGGTGCTAATACCAGGACAAGGTGGTGCCAAACACGTAGGGCCCTTGTACGATGGAAACCTGGCACTTTTAGGAAGGTGGGACTGGGGAGGCAGGTGCATCTGAGTAAGAAGCCCTTAGAGGCCTCGAGCCCCCAGGCCCTTACTTGTTGGTTAAACATTCAAAAAGGAGTCCAGTTTGCTCCCCGGAATTATTTTACTCTATAACCAAATGAGCAAATAAATGTGAACTAGAAGAGTTTTCAGGAAAATATAGAAAATAAACACTGGATATGATTGTCTTTGAAAGGAGATAAATAATTTATCAAAATTTAACTTGTACGAAAACAAAGCAATTACATATGAAATAGCCAGTATCAAAGCCAGGGATGTATCAAAGGTGGAGGGAGGAAGCTGAAAGAAGGGGAACATGGGTGTGTTACATTTGTCCTGGAAGCCTATCTGTGCTGCAAAAAATTGTTGAGTTTTGCATTTTTCATGAGATGGTAGCTGTAGCATATGGCAAAAAAAGGCCCTAACACTTTCTCTAGAAATCTGCTATTTCTAAACCAGTCCAGTTTGGCAAATGGTTAAGACACAGCCTCAGTACAATCACATGAAAAAAAAACTGAACTCTATTATCACCCCTATATAATAATACATAGAAAACATGTCCAAAGTTTTAAACTTTCCCATTTAAAAAGTTGGGCACTACCACCATGTCAAGTGATGTTCTGAGTATGGATTCATTTATTAAATCTTCATGAAGCAGTGGGAGATACATTCTATTCCCATCCTGGTTTCACAGATGGGAAGAGCACCTCCGAGCACAGTGAAGCTGCTGGGAGTCTGCAGCGTGGATTCTGGCTCTGGTGCTCTAAGTCCTTAGACTGCAAAAATTTCAAGTGCAACTTTAGCAATGTAATTATCATTTACAATCTGGGAGAAATGCATCCCAGGAGGGGGTGGAGGGTGGGTAGGAAACGGTGACTTCCTGGGGACCTGTACCTGGGACCAGGAGCACAGAGGCACCTACCTCCAAGACTTGAAAGCGCTGGTAGATGTAGTGCACCATGGCGGGGTCCTGGGCGCACAGGGGTGAGGGCAGAAAGGCAGCAAGGACCAGAGCCAGGAGAGCAGAAGCTCCCTGGAGGACCCTCATTATCGTGCACGCCACCCAGAGGTGGGGCCTCTTATGCCGTGCTTCTCCAAGAAGACTCAAGGGCCCAGGTGGTGGTCTCCTGCTTTCTAGCTGCTTCTGTGGCAAATCCTCTAAAAACAGCCTGAGAGCAAAGCTTGCTTGTTATTCCACCAGATGCCTGACCTCGCTTTGCAAGCTGGTGATCAAGTCCAGCTGTTGGCAAGCTGGTCCCCAGAGGCCGTGCAGGCCCACTAAGGGTAGAGAGCATCCTGGTCCAGCCTCTGTTGAAATCACCCTTGACACACACTGACCCTCCCAGGCTAGTGGCTGCAGCTGTTTTCAGGCCTGACAGGGTGTGAGTTGGGGCAGGGGAGAGGAGGGCTTCTCCCCTTTCCCCAGCTCTTTGTGTTTTACTTTTACTTTCCCCCTCCCTAGTGGACTCTACAGGCCAATCACAGGCCTGACCCAACACAAGCCACCCCCAGCTTTTCAAACTTGGAATCTCAGTTTAGTTACTGGAAAAAATTCCCAGGATCCTTTTCCCAGAAGTCCTGTCAGGAGACCCCACCCCTCCTCCAGACTCATTTTGCATTCCTGCAGCTCTTAAAGACACAGCGAGGAAAGATGAACGTTCTGCTGCCCTGTGGTCTCTGAACAGCCAATGCAAGGGGTTGCCTGCGGCCTGGCCACCCGGGCTGAGAGTTGGAAAATCTGAGGATCCAGCTCAGACTGGGCACAATAGTAGTTACTGATTAATACAAGATTGCTTCCAGAGACAAACCATCAGGAAGTGAGCTCCTTTGTAGGAAGGCCTTGAGTCCTAGTGGCTGAATCCCCGGCCCCGTGGCTGCAGGCCACAGTAACACAGAGGACACCGTCCTGCAGGCCAGAGTCTGGTTGAAAATAAGTCCTGTTCCTGGGGTTAGTTGGTGAAAAGCTCCCCCTTTCCCCACTGGCAATGCAGACCTTTGCTCATCTCAACCTCTCCTCCCACTGCTGGGCAGGACACACAAACTCCTTTCTTAACTGCTTGCCACAGTGGGGAAGGTCCGGCCACAGACAGCATGGAGATGGAACTCGGCCAGGACTCAAAGACCTGGGTTTGCATTTGGACTCTTTAAGAGACTCAGAAAGTCAGAATTTCCCACCATGGCTCATGCATGTGTTTGTTGCCATCAGATGTCCCTCTTTACCTCTCTTCCACGTGCCTTTAGTCCTAACTGTCCCTACTCACCCCCTTGTAAAATCACAGACAACCCTCCTCCTTCAGAACAATTCCTCCTAGTTCTGAGAACCATTTTTTTTAACTATTCCCCAAACTAGCTGAACTTGGGCTTATCCCTCTTTAAATCCTCATTAAAATGCTGCTTGATTCAGCCTTCTTCCCCAGGTGAGAAAGCTCTTCCAGAGACTTCTCATGGTTGGCATTTTCAAATACAGTGGTGGATTTTCTGTACAAGCACCTCAGGTTCTAACTTTGAGACTATGAACTAAGTACAGATGCAGTGGAGGAAAACTCCAATTTATGTTAATTAGCTTTGGGGGAGCAATGCCATAATCCTCATGTTTTCTGGCATGTTGTTTTTTTTTTTTTTTTTCACAATAAAATATACATTCAATACTAAAGTAGCCCGAGCATGTCTTGGAGCTTCTGTGATAAGCCTGGAGGCTTTGCCCAAGCAGAGCCCTCAGGCTGCCGTTGCAGCCCTGGGGTGGGCTTTTAAGAGAATGACCTCAAGCCCCCTGCCCAGCCTTGCAGGCACTCCTCTCTGTGACAGTGACCAGCCCCTCACTACTCTCTCCAGTTACCCGCTTCATGGGGACAAGCCTGGCTCTGAGCTCAACTGCCCACACCTGGTCTTGCTGAACTTCCTTGGGCAACGAAGATCATAGCCGGCTCCCCTTACCCATCAGGGTTAATGAGCCATGGGACAGAAGACCCAGAACAGAATGTTCTTGTGACCAGAGCTTTTGTAAAGAAAAATTAAACTCATTTTGCCTATAATCTCAGCTTTGACTGACATAGAGAGGCCAACCATAGCCATCTTTATTCACAACTGGCCTTTCTCGGGGGAATGAAAGACTGCAACTTAGCCTGCCATTGGGGCAAAATCATCCACTTGGCTCTTTTGTCTCTCTTACATTTAACCTCTGATTGGGGCCCTTCCCTGTTGGTGCTGAGTTAGCACATTACCCCCGGGGCTCCGGGGGATGTGACCCCTGTTGTGCGTGTCAAGGTGGCCAGGTGATCGGGCCGATAAAGCCATCACAGACTTGTGTTTATCTACCAAAAATGCCACAGGGACGACCTGACCTTTCTCTGCCCTAGCACACTCCCTTGTAAGGGAGTGTCAGCATCTGGCAGCTGCAGGTGGTGTGGCAAGAGAAAATCCCTACTTCCTCCTTTCCCGCCTTAATCTTCCACTCCTACTGCCTAATGGTATATAAAGGGATCGCTGGAAATAAACGAGAGACTCCTGGATGAAGAACCTCGGCGTCCTGTGTTTTCTTTAACCTCATCGTCCCTCGTCGGACTCGGCTCCGATCAGCCAGACACGGCACTTCCCTAGGGAGAACAGTGACTAAGCATAGTGAGAACCTCTGTTCCCTCTGCAGGTGGCCGGTCCTTCTGCTTTTCAACCCCAGTGTCCTGAGGAAGAAGAGTTAAGCCACTTGGCAGTCTTCACTCTGCTCAATGGTCACATGTAGATCACTAGTCCTTGACCTGTGGTCCAGCCCTGAGCTGATTGCTTTTCCAAAATGACCAGACATATCAGGGCGTATCTGTGCACAGCCTACTCAAGCTGAACTCATTCAGGTCCTCCTGAAACTCTTTGCCATTTTCATCACTTTTGCCACTGTGCCTCCATATTAACTGCGCCCCTGATTTCTAGCGTCTTCTCTACGTGTTACCCTTGACCTGTATCCTTACTTTTCTAAGAGACTGGCAAACTCCAGGAAAGTCTGTGAGAGTACTATGCCTTCTTAAGACAAAATTCAACAGAATCCCAGCTAGGACACTAGAATTCATCCTTTACATCTGAAACAAATGGCTTCTCTCTCTTTTTCTTCTTCCTGTTTGCCCAGCTTTTCTCCTTATCTATTATACACCCCACCCACTCCCAATAATTCTTTGCCTTAATGTCATCCTCCAATCTTCCCAACATTTGCAAGTAATTGCATTGTTTCCTGCCTGAGTGGTTGGAGCAGCTTCTAATTCCCTGTCTATATCTCTTTAGATAAAACATTGGCTGATTTTATGCCAAAAGGAAAGCTTTTTACATGTGACCTCAGCTAACCTTTTTACATCAGCTTTTACCATCCCCCACTACAATCCACAAAAGAGCCACATCTAATTATCTCAAAACTTGATGAGATTTACCATCATGATGTCTTTGTTTATGTAGGTCCCTCTGCCTAGAATGTTTCTCCCTTTTGTGACTTGTGAATCTTTGTTCACTCTTTAAGTCTTCTACAACTCACCACTGTTATAGGGCACCCTAAATCTGTTAGAAGACAGCAAATCTGTTTCAGGACAGGGAGAGAGAGGGGCACCACTGAAGCCCCAAACCTGCCTGCTCCAAGTGGCTTCTGCCATCTGCCGCGTCAAGAAAAAACATAAAACTTGAATGACAAGGGACTTCAATACAGTAAATATACAATACAGAACACAAAGAATATAACTTCTAAATCAAACACCTGAAGTTACCCATCCACTCGTGGGCAAAAGTCAACCCAAAAGGGATTGGCCCAAAGCAAGGCCTGAAAGCTGCCACAAGACTAAAGCACCTTCTGGCCGGGACCCATGGAAAAGGGTCAGAAATGGCCAGACAGATCTGGGAGGAAAAGAGCAAAATCAAAATCAATATAAATACTGCCATAGTTACCTCTGTTGGGAGTGACTAAAGATTTACTGATAAGGACTGAATTAGGGCGGTAAAGAATTTTGCCTTGCATCCAAGCTTGATAAGGTGGAAATAAACTGACCTTGCATCCAGGATGGGACTAGCTGAAGGTGATAATGAACTGGGCCTCACATCAAGGACACAGCGATGAGTCACCCCCTTTGGAATCGGAGAGTTTAGAATCTATATAAGAGACCCTTCCCCCTTATTGAGGGGGCAGTAGCTGCGGACCCCACCCTAGGGGCTCCGTCTCAGTTGCTGTCCGGGAGCAATAAACTCTGTTTGCTCAGCCTTTCTGCCTCAAGCCTTCCTTTCTTGCAGCCGGTCACAGAACTTGGGAACAGACTCATGGCATCCGTCCCTCCTCTCCACCTTTTCCTTTCAACCTCCCTACAGGTATCTCACCCACATCTGCCTTAACCAGTCCAGGGTCAGGAAACAAGCCCGGCTTCTTCATCACATGCTTGCTGCTCCATGTGGCTTCCTCAGGTCTCCTTCTTGTTCTCCATCTAGCTTCCTTCTTTTCTTCTCTCCTCATTCCTTCTCTTCTCAGCTCCACCCTCCTTCTGGGTGGGTCAAACCAGGAACTTCCCCTTTTCCTAGGGACCACTCTGTTACAATCACCCCTTTCCCAAACAGAATAAACCACCTTCACTGGTTTCCATAACATATTGAAGTCTGAATCTTGGAAATTTAAAGAGAAACCTCCTCTGGAGTTTGTTGCTCTGGTGAGAGGTGTGGGCCGGCTGCAGTGATATAAAACGATTAGAGGTTTAGACATGGCGTGGACGGGATTTAGTCCCCTACAACATTCTTATAACTGACTCCTAACATAGCATTTCCAAATGTGGCAATATTTGAAGATTTTTTAGAATGTGATTAAATTCAGATGAATTTTCTTGGGTGGGGTCTAATTTGATCTGATGAATGTCCTGATAAACAGAGGAAACCTTGTTATAGGGCACCTCAATTCAGAGAGAGGCACCCCTGAGGCCCCAAAACCTGCCTGCTCTAAGTGGGTTCTGCCATCCGCCGCAACAAGACAAAACATATAAAGCTTTAATGAAAAGTGACTTTAATACAGTGAATATACAATATGGAACACAAAGACTCTAACTTCTAAATCAAACACCTGAAGTTACGCATCCCCTCGTGGGCAAAAGTCAACCCAAAAGGGATTGGCCCAAAGCAAGGCCTGAAAGCCTGCCACAAGACTAAAGCACCTTCTGGCCGGGACCCATGGAAAAGGGT